TGGCATTTTGCAACATCTTTTGCAACATTTAACTGGATTTTTGATGACTAGTACTTTGTAATAAAGATATTTTTCACAACAACGTCGAACTCTTTATCACCTGTTATTACTGTATGTCCCTGACACTTCCCAACAAATACAAACTTTTGTCTACATTGAAACAACGTAATCAAAGGAACATTTAGGTTCTTCTTTAGTCCCAAAGCGACATTCATACCTAGAAACAAATTATCCACTGGTATATGTAACAATTTACTTATTCCAAATTACTAGTGTATAATAACTAAAGAAAAGTTGCTTCTTACATCTACAGCATTCATCGTTTAATAATCAGTATCTCAGTTATTAAAAACAAAAAGGAATGCAAAACGTAGAGTCAACCAAATCTTAAAAGACGTCAGAAATTCATGGACGTGTAACTTATAAATGTAAAAATAACAAATACAGAAAATCTTCGAAAGTCAAAATTATTTACTATTTCGCATATTAACAGTTTTTCGTGATTAATATATCGTATGCGATGGTGGTGACTTATGGTAACCGACCATGTACAAAAGATTACGTTAAACACAAAATTCTTAATGTTAAATGATAACAAAGAACATTTTGTTATTAGTCCATATATCTTGAAAAAATCTTCACATATTACTGAAAATGCTTTTCTAGATTCCTTTGTGTTTCCGGTATGAACAACAAATGTCGCCGCCAATTTCTATTCAAAGTGATAAAAATCAATGAAAAATATCAATAAGAACAAACGCATTTCTAGCTTAAACACTTAGTCACTTGATTTACGGTGCATTATCGCCAAGAAATTGAAATAAAAACTAAAGGGTTCTCAGATTATATTATTTCAGTGTGGACATTGTTTCTATATAAATGTATTTATATTTATTGGACACTGTGTGAAACATACAGCAACATCAAATAGAAATTTCCACGTTATTATCTTAATGAATCTTAATAATGTTACATCTTTTGATTTCGTTTGTACGTCTACACATATTTTATACCATATTTCTTTTCTAAGTAGATTCTACGAAATACCATTTTGATAATTCGACAACATTGATCAATTTTTCGGTTATAAAGTTACGTCAGGATACCGGAGCTAAGATACTTGACAATTACATCTTTTATGATTGGCTAAAAACGTTTCTAATGAAAATCTTCGAAATGCTATTGATACCACTGTAGTTGATCTTGTTCGTACGAAATTGTTTCTAACATAAAACAAGATATGATGCTATTTTGAGATATAATAGCATACATATATTGTTTTAAACCATATTTGTTGTAGTTATTTCGAAAACTGAATTTTTTAATTCGTGATTAGTTTCAATTTTTCAATTTAGGTACCTATATATGTAATATAAATGTAATTGCTTTTCAGAATTTCAGATTACTTAAATAAACCTTGAAAGATTCTAAATTATTTTTCTGAGATAATTTAATTCTTTCTTGAATTAATTTTCACGTTACAAAATAATTATCTGTGTTCGCAATTAATTCACTTAAAACCGCATGGGCCATTAGATATAATTTTTATAAATAAAATTGACAGATTAGTGGATATGAATAATTTTGTTTTTATTGTCCGATTTTTTAATACTTTTTTTGTAACTGTTATTTGTAATGTTGCATTTGACGAAAATGAGCTCTGTGCAATTGTAATAAAAAGTTTTGATTTATCACCTCTTTCTTTAATATGGAATTGTGTAGTTGAAAATTTCAAAAAATATTCTTTAAACCTAATCTTACCTATGTCTAACATAAATGACTTTAGATAAGTTATCGATTTTATATATCAAATTTAGCAAATGCGTCATTTGCACATTATTTATGGTATATTATTTATACAAAAGTTTCTAATTTAACAGTCATTGTACAATTGGAATTAAAACAACAACAGAGCCTAATTAATATATACGAATTTCTCTTACAATCTGATAAGTTATCCAAATGGTAAATAGTTACTAGTTTAGGACAGTAAAAAGATATAGTACTTTAATTAACTTGTTCTAAACCAGAATTCTAAATTCTTTTGTAGTAAAGCCAACCTTTGTGTTATATCGATTAATAGTAACTATTCTTTAGGATATCTTCTATTGTCATACATGGCAACAATAGTAAGTACCCAGCATGAAAGCCAATATTCCAAAGAAATAATGTTGATTATAATTATTTTGGTTGTTGTTTAGAACAAGATTTGTTCATTTAGCATTTAAGGTAAAATTCATTTATTTAAAATAATGCTTATTCCATTGACAGTCAAAGTTATACTAGTTCTGACAAATTAGACCAGTTATCCTTAGAAATGAAATTTAACAAAGTTAGAATAGATATTGACAATTGATTAGATGGTTAGATCTTTTATTAATCATATCATGTATTTAGCTACAATAAGAAAATGAAAAATGAGATGTTGAGAAATTCTATACAAGTGGGAATATCTGACTAGACAATAAATTGATAAATATGAAGATTAGAAATTTTAAAGGGATACTAAAAATATCTGGAATATTGTTAATATTCCAATATACAAATGTTTTGAACCCATGATATTATGATCTGAGATTAAACAAACTTATAGAAGTTAATAAATATTCAGAAACTTCTATTTGGATTTCAACTTAAACTTTTTAATCACAAGAAAGTAACTAACAAAAACTAATAAATTAACAATACAATTAGAGTAAACTAAGCCATTCTCTTATATTCTCTTATATATAAATATTTATTTGTTTCGGCTCAAAAATAATCCATATACAGGGTGTCATGTTTAATTAGAAATACTCTAATTGAACATAGAAAGTATTGTAAATATAAATAATATTATTTTAAATATACAGTAGAATATTATTTTGTTTACATAATTTTTTATAAGTAAAATAGTAAAGAAATTTTAAAATGAAATTAATTGGTTTAAGTAGAAATTAATGTTTATCAAGACAAATATAATAGTGAGCTATAAAAAGTCATTTAATGCTATAGAAGACTATAAATTAGCGAGATCTCAAGGAATGTGGTAATCTCAAACAGCTCGTCAATTAGTTAAATGCTACATATTTCAATACTGTCAATTAATGCTGTCACGCAGTGATTCAACAAAATATTGATCTGACACTTCTAGATCCAATTTAAAAAGTCTACTGAATGATATAATATGAAAGTTGTTAAATTCGTTTTAACACATGCTATCGTATTAAGAATAAAGAGACATTGGATACCATTTAAAAAAAAATTAACTTGATTTTGAAATCTTCCTCACTATCCTATTAAAACAATTTTTTCATATTTGCAATGGTTTTTAAGATATTACAGTGTTTTCAATTAAATGTGATACGCTGTAGAATTGACAAACCTCAGTTTATATGACCTTCCAATTATCTATTTTTTATCTGCCAGGAAAGATTAAATTACTAATAATTCAATAAGCTTTACCAGTGTTAAAAATGAACTCAAGCAATTAGAGAAATTATTAAATAGCAAGAAATACAACAATCAAGCTCAAAGAATCTTAAATTGAAAGCAAGTTGAATGGCAACTTATCCCCTCATATTCACTTTTTCACTTTTAAGGATTGTGGAAAACTAAGTCAAAACTAAGTTTCAATAAAGAAATACTCAAAACGATACATAGACAATCTACGTTTAACTTTCAAAGAATTTTACACAGTCCTTAGATAAATTAGTCTGCTTCAACATTTGCTCACTTTACCCTCCATCTGACAATTTTAAAATCTTGATATCATTGATGTCTGGACCATTTCTTCATTCAATAATATCATAACAGCCTTTTCACAATTTATTGTACTTAAAAATTAGTCAGCAAAATAGATATCAATTACACCAATATATGATATAATAATCCTGAAAATTATGACATGGAGAATATCTTAATAAATGAGATCACCAGAACTAACAAAAGAACTCGCTATGCACACATCCAATAATTTTTATAATCTGTGCCAATAACATTTCTTTTCTCAGATGAAAATGAAAACAATGGAAACAATAGAAACAATTGCGAAATTCTGATAAAAACCTAGTGGACTAAGTTATCTTCATTTGTATAGCAAATGAAACCATTAAAAGGCTCATCATCATTTTTCCATCATTACTGATCTTTCAGTAACAATAGAGACACAAAAGTTAATGTATATTATAACATTTATAAATTAAACAACATTATTTCTTTCGAACGAAAGGAAGACTACAAAACAGATAGAATTTTATTTTTTAGTTATTAATTTAAACTTAACTGCTTGGATTTACAATATAAATATCTGGTATTGTCATTTGTAAGGAATTTGCTACTCTTTTACTGATTAATTTTTATCCGACATACCATTAAAGCCAGAATCAAGATTTAAAAATTACTTTATACTCACATAAATTTTACATATTTGAGGACCAAATAAGAAATTACTAAGTAGTAAAACAATAATATAGATATATCGTAAACCTATAATATGGTATGTCGATAATCAATAAACAGGGAACTTGTCCCCCTTGGCTTGACATACATTCCATTGATAAATATCAATGGGACATTTTGATGGGTAAGAGATTAAGGAGTAGATTGACTGACTGAGGAACTAAAATAGGTAATGATTCTGCAATTAACTCAATACACATATATAATAATTATAGATAAAAATCAAAGAACTTCGTAATTAAAAGGAAATTTTGAAAATTAACATTGTTTGTACAAGTGTTACTTTTATCATGGATTATATACCAATTAATTACGTAATTATCTTATATTTAAATACTAAGTTTTAATAATGTTTTAAATATTTTTCTGTTTTTCTCTGTACCAGGTGATCTATCAAGAACTTTAAAACTGGCATATCATGTAATTAGATGATTAACCACGAATATTAACAACTTTATTCTGTAGTAAAATGCTTTATATTTATCAATATACATTATAAACGACTTTTTCAAATTCTTGAAATTAATGAAAATAATAGCTAAAAGAATCAATATACATACCCCTACTTTAGGCAGATTACATAAATTTTTTTCTTTTTCTATCTTATCTACATCTATGGTTTCTTTTTGGGATAGTGTCTCTAATGTCTTAGTTTGCAATAAACTTATTTTTGTAGTAGATTTTTTTATAAAATCCACTGTTTCTTGGAGCTTTTTCCTAAAAATTAAAGACTATTATTTAATTTATAAAAAATGCCAAAAGAACATATATTACAGATTTTTTATTTCTAATTGTAAGCAATATTTCTGTCATGTAGCTATAAACAATTTTGATATTGTAATTAAAATTTAAGACAGATATTAAAATCTAAGATAAAAGAAATAAATTATTTATGTATTTATTTAATAATTAAATTCCATTATCAAGTTCATTACTAATATCAAACTATATATAATTCTTAAAACTTATTTCTAAAATATATTACTATTTATGAAATATTCCTCAATACTTTCTAACTTACTTATCTTTATTTATTGTTATTACAAGAAAATATAATGATTAACTGCAATCAATGTTTTAATTTATATACAATTAACTTCATAGTGTATATTTGTATACAATTAAATTGATAGTGCATATTATATTTGAAATATATTTCAAATATACTACATATGAGTTGCATAAACAATGAAATTCAATATTAATTTTTTAGCTCTTTACTGAACAATCAATTGTATCAAAATGTTATATTATATACTTTCCACTATTCGAATTATTAACACCTATTATTACATAAAAATAGTAAATAGGTATTCTTTATGAAATCATAATAATTATTATAAAAATTAGAAGAGTTACATAACATAAAATGGAATATACGATTAGTTTTTTAAATGCTTTTATTCTATTTATATTATATATTTGTATATAATTGTAAATTTATATTTATACATACCTACATCCAATATTAACCTTCGTTTCACATAGAAAACACCAGACGTTCCAATAAAGACTATCAACTACCATAAAATGGCAGTCACTATGTGGTTTTTTATAATGTTCTAAAGCATGTCCACTTTCTTCCCTTCCACAACCTTGATGTCCACATTGCAAACAAATTAATATTGCTGGATTTGTTTCACATTCCTAAAGATTTAAGTATTTTCATTTTGAAAATATCCTTTATTATTGAATAAAGTTAAAATTAAATGATTGAATTGTTTTAAATCTATACCTCTCCATTAATTTTTGATAAATTATTTTTACACTTTTTACATGTTGAACATTCTGTATTAACTCCCACTTTATTAATACATTTCTTAATTTTATTAAAATTCACTGCTTTTGAAACATGTCGACATTTATCACCTATAAACATTAACGCTGCATTTGTAATTGTTATTTCTTCAGATTTATTAATCAAATATATTATAGAGAACATTCTTTTTTATGAAAATTGGATCATACTATCAATTATTAACATAATTTGTTAAATTTCCTAATAAATGAGTAAAAAGAAGGTAACAAAATTTTAACACATTTACAGACACTAAATTTGCCAATAATATATGTTCATTGATGACCAATGACACCACAATTCATTAAAGTATTGAAATTGAATTAACAAATATATCTGTAATATTTTTGTAACATTTTTTATAGTTTTAATGTTAAAAATGTAAGACATTAAATATACCATAAAATGCTCGAACAAAAGTTTATCTTACATTTTATAATATGCATTTTATTAATATCAATTGTAATATAAATATATTTATATCGTAATGTAATTTGCTAAAATACTGCAATAGATAACGCACACAAAATTCACATGGCAATCGATATGTTAATACTATATTACATATATTAATTAATTTATAATATTATGAATTTTTGCAAACAATTTTAATTTTATAAGACAAATTAAAAAAGTAGGATAAAAATGAATATTAAATTATTACAATATAAAATTTAGTTACTTTAGTTATTAATAAACTGTTTACTGAACAATCATTGTTATAGCATAATTTGTTAATTAGTTCCTTAAGTCATTTCCCAGTTCTGATAATAAAACTAACTATTATAATTTAGCTCTTAGGACATATACTTTTTCTTATGCCAAAACGAATAATATTTTACAACTCAAGTTCCTAAAAAAATTTAATTCTAACCTGCACTATTAGGTTCATTACAAGAATCAGTTGAACCTTCACTTAATTCTCCATTTGCATCTGGTTGTCGATTACGTTTTTTGCTCATTTCGATTTATTTTTAAACTGCATCGAATGTAATTATTAAAATTTTTAATTATTACGACCTAATAATTTAGTAAACAAAAAAACATGTGGAAATTTGGTTATACAAGGTACACTAGGAAACGTTCATGATAGTCCAAACAATTTCTAATATACAAATGTACTACGTTATTATATTTCGTAACGAAAGTTAAATAATTTCTTCTAATTTATTGAATCTTACACTAATTATCCAAAACTAATTACAAGCAAGCAATACACAAAAATATTACTGTCACAATTATCATTGCTTGCACAATTTATATACTGTTGCTTTCAATAACATAGTTACAAACTGTCGAAACTTATTACGAACAGGGTTGACAACCTAAATTTTTTTCTACGAATCAGTTAATTTTATTGGTGTGTGCACAAATTTTCAAAGAAATTGAGCCGAACTGCGTTATAGAACAATTTTAATAAATTAAAGCATTAAATAATAAATCTTCAGATTTATAACTCAATTTAATTATTTTAATTTTTAATTATTTTAAATTTTAATACAAAGTGAATTAAATTTGTATAATATGGTTGCCAAAACAATAAAAGGAGCTAATGTTGATTTTTTATTTAATTGAAAAAGTATTTGATCATTGCATAGTTTACTGATATTGGTACGATATTAATAGAAAAGTAATTTCATATTTCTAAGATAACCAACATAAACAATATTAATTTATTTTAGAAACAAATGGATAATGAATATGTATTTTAAAGAAGTATGGCGATATAACTATGCAAAACATGTAATATATTATGTCGAACAATACAAATTTATTGACTTTTATAAATCATCAGATTAAAATTCATAGAATAATTAAATTCATAGAATACATTCATTGCGTATTAAGGCATATACACAATGTGATTATGCATCAGGCGTGATACATGTAAAGTGAAATTAAAATAATATTTATTATAATAAATAAATTAAGATATCCTTTTCTTTATGGCATATTCTTTGTATATTTATATGTAATTAATTTTGCATATATATGTAAAATATGCATATGATGCAAATTAAAAACTTTTCTCACTTGTATATTCTTCATAAAATACCATTATATTTATTAATTTTATTTCTTTTATATATCACTAACAATGTTTGTTATTTTGTTACCAATAATTTTTACAAATATCTCCAAAACTAAACCTAAGCGTCAATTATTGTCCAAATAAAAGTTATTCAGAATTTCACTGACACTTTCAATGACGCTTCAAAGTCATTGAGATCGGTCCACGCATTTTGCAGTTTTTCAAATTTTGTTTCTTGCAAAGGAATGGCAAAAACACATTACTTTTTCAGGCTTCTTCAGTCCATATATAGGCTATATTTCTATTTTATTGATTACAAAATATAGCATGTATACTTTTTTAAAAAAGAAGAAGTTAATTTGGGGCAAAGTCACTAAAGTGAATTATTACCTTAGAAACTTTGATCTAATTTACTTTTAATTTCTGCATATCTTTATTTTAAATATTTTATGTTATTCAAGTTACAAACCTGTTTGTTTTCTTCTCAAGGATACACAAATTAATACCTCGGAAAATACGGCTACCCAGCAATTCTTTCAAAGGAAAGAAAGTTGTTCAAAATAAATACACTGTATACAGCGTATACCATTGAAAGGTGAGGATGTAATAGTTTGATAATTTCACCAGAAATGATCGTATCATGGAACCTTGATATATCAATATCCGTATTTATACATCATATTTAAATAGTTTAAATAAATAATTTTTAATTATATGGATACAAATTATTTGGTTATATTTCTATATGTTGTGATAAAATAAAATACTACATTTATCATTTTGTTCCTGACACGCAATTGCCTACGTGTAACGTCATATAGGATATTAGAAAAAAGTGTTTCAAGACTTTCAGGACTTTAAGTATAGAGTTATATATAAACTTTAACTCTCTTTTTCTCAAATATGCACAGGTAATAAAGCCGATTTTTCGTCAACAGGAATAATTATTGGGCCTATATTGACTTGACATCTCCTACTCTTCCGAATAAGTATTTAACCATATGTAAATATTTGAAGCAACAAAATGTTCTACATCGAATATTCTTCTTAATATTCTAAGAGACATTAGCTAATTCTAAAATCCTAACCCTTTTTCTTAATTTTGTGAATTTATCGAGGTGTTCAAGAAATATTGTAAACTATCCTTTTTTTCATCCGTTACAATTCGTCTTTATATATGTATCTTTAAAACTACAGAAGACATAAAAATGTTTAGGATAAAAACTGAATAGTTTTTTTTATAGTTTTTAATATCAAAATTGTTGCACGAAGACAGTCGTGGGTTTCTCTTGGTGGTTGCTTTCTCTCAGTATGCCGAACTTATCGAGATATTGAGCACTTGAGTGTATAATAAAGAGTACCTTTGTTTACACACACTTTATTACACCGATGATTACGATTTGGATAATTGGTGTCTTTTGGTGTGTTATCTTCGCCTCCTGTCTTACGTCTTCTAATGTGTACTGATTGAATTCTAGTTTTCATCTGATGTGATATCTTCGAGTTCTAACTAACATCCGTCTTGTCTACTCTGTCATGCAATAATAGTCATGTTTTGTCTGGTGTCTCCTCAAGCTTTGTGTTGATTGGTTTAGAGTGGTGTGGGCGGAGGAAAGATAGAGTTTCTGATCGGACGAGGGTGTTTTGGACCTTTGGCTTAGGAGTGGGAAAATGTCAGGGAAGTTTTCCTTCGGTATTGTTTTGGTCATGCATTTTGGTCTAACTTTTCGGTGGATCAGTCACACATGCGTCTCGTCTGTAGGGTCTGGTCATAGGTAATGGTATTGTCCGTAGTCTGTGTCTTCCTTAAACCCTTCCTTAAATCCTTAATCCGCAAGAAAGACGGTAAGGCAAATCTAACCTCCATTATTGCCGTCGCAACAGAAATAGTAAAACATTGTTTTTTAATTTTAAAAAAAGTACTATATTGATAGCATAATCTTAAAAAACATAAAAAGTTATTTAATACCAACCTAATCAACAACGCTTTATTCTTATCCTCAGTTTACATCCTATTATTAATACATTATTAAGTCATACATCTGTATGCTAATGCTTGATAATTAAATAATTAAATTTTGTAAATTAATTTAAAAGCATTCAAAATAACCAAAAATTGACGACCATTAGTTGATATATTAATTAACGGACGGCTCTTTGAGGAAATTGTGTATAGTTTCGAATAGTAAGTAGACTGTCCGCGTGCTACCAGGTCTAGCATTTATATGGACCCTTGGTAGAAATAATAGAATTTCCGAATTTCAGGTGCAAGGGTAAGGGTTAAAAATGGTTTTTCGGAAAAACGAACTGAAATATTGCCCCATAGTCCAGGTACTTGACCTATATGATGGACAAGCGTCAATGTGCCATCGTATTTTACCTGAGGTACGGGGTCGGCAATATGGTATTTCCTGTTTCAAGGATCAACACGTGTTTTTGGAGTATTTTAGTTTTTCATTATAAAATCATTATAAATAATAATTATAACACAGATGGTTTTAAGTTATTCCGTGCCATGAGAAGCATGCCAGATCGATCCGATCTGCGGCCACAGTAAACTTTTTCAATGTTTTCCAATGTTTTAATAATTGTTACTAGTATAGGATATATTGTTTATTGTTTTTTAATTCGCCATTAGCGACATAGCGCACTATAGCGTGCAGAATTGCGGTGCAGTTCCTATTACAGTTGTAAGGAGCATAGGCTTACGTGTATATAGTCTAAATGATGTATTATACAATTGTACTTTTCTATCAAAATATTTACGACAGTGTCGTTAATAAATACTACCGCGGCACAAAAAGGCACAGAAATGTTCGTTACAATTTTCTAACTGCCCGGTATCAATTGGCAAAATAATTCGACCATTGGAATATCCTATTTTACATTTTCCTTTACCTTTTACCTTAGCTTTTTAGATAATATTCTTTCATTGCATCGAATAACGACCGGACACAAACAGCAATCAATATCTAACAATATGATTCTTTTAACCAAATTCATTTAACCAAGTTAACACAAGACTCGACTAACAATGGGCCTGCACTAGTACATGGATGGTAGTATATAGACTGGACCGTGCCTATGCGCAAGCCTATACTCCTTACAACAGCGATGTTCCGTCCCGGAGAGCGTGTTTATAACATGATTTTTACTCTAAGGCTTACACTTTTAACTGACCTAACGGTTTATTTTATATTTTATACTGCGACTGCAATTCTGGAGGTTAGATGTGCCTCAACGCCGTTCTAGCGGCGTTAGGAATAAGTTTATAAAGGTAAAGCAAAGTTTAGGAATTTTACAAGTACCATACGCGATAAATGGGACCCACGTGTGACAGACCCAACAAGCTACGGACGGACAGCTACTTATAAATCACGTCATTGACCATCAAAAATCGGCTCCTTGACACTTTCCTACTCCTTAGTCAAAGGTCCTTCCGTCACACCCTCTGTCCAATTAAAACTCCTTACTTTTCCACCACCAACATTTATTTTACCCAATCGGAACTAAACTGCAGAAAACACCGGACAGATCACGACGAGACACGACATAGAGCAAAATCGAGAAATCAGTTCGTCTTCGACACCGATCCTTGAAACATCTTACTTACACGTATAAACGCGTGTTCGAAACGGTACTCCGTTCAACGTCTCTATTATAACTATTCTATACTTTTCTATAAATAAGTACTCTTTTTTGACCACACACTCTGGATCCTTATTATTACAACTAGTCACGCAAAATTAATTTAGCGCGTGATAAGCGTTCTAGGACATCGAAGGGATTCGATACGATAGGACGCTACAAGTGATACAACAGGTACCACGTGGCAAGTCAGCACGTTGTATCGCTGATGGCTAATTAAAAAACACTGAGTAACATATCCTACATTAGTAGCAATTAATCAAAACATTGAAAAAGTTTGCTATGCTCGTGTG